ATTTAAATACCAAATTGCTATTAGTTTGATAAAATTTAATGATTGTGTTCGTTTTTTTAATCTTCATCAGCGATTATCGAATAACATTAACTTGAAGTAAATGCAAATTAAAATACAAGAATTATTATTTGATAAACAAATACATCATTTCCTCATCAATTGTTACTTGATGACAACATAAGTGGACATGTTTTTCTAGTGTGTCCTGGGTTTCTACAATGGCCACATCTTTTGTCTTGTCTAGATCTTTCTCGAATATCCATATCGCAATGAATTCGATTGGATTTTGGACGATCACGCTCCCTCAATAAACTCGGATTTGGTACAATCGGAAGCCAATCTTGAACCTCATCAGGGTCTTTGTCATTACCTATGGGGGGAAACTCAAATTCGTATACCTTAAAAACTTCATATAGTAGGTATACGGGATCCACAAAATGGTTATAGTCTTGATGTGTATGCGAGCAAGCTGCTATCACATGAGAGCATGGATACTTCAGAACTTGAAAAAACCCGCAGTCGCACGTTCTGTCCCTTAGATTTACTCTTAACGACACAGCTTCAATCCCTTGAAGAGGTCGCGGTAACTCTGTGACACGAAACATTTCATGCCTTCTTGAGAAGCTTGTTACAGACATTCCATTTGATGCAGCAATTTTTTTCTGTAGATCTGCAACTAATCTAGGGTGATAGACATGACCGCCTTGCATCCAGGTTTGAGCTGTCCCCCGAGCTTCACAAAAGCACCCCCAAATGAAAATATATAGTTTTTACCAAAGCCGCTACAGGTAAGTGACGTGCACCCTTTAAGGTTGAATTGATTGCCTCAGCTAAGTTGGTCGTCATGTGTCCATATCGATATCCACCATCATATGCGTTCATCCACATTTCTTTATCGATGAGGCTGATGTAATCGTATCCTTCCTCGTTCTTCGCCAGCAAATCTTGAAGCATTGATTCAAACGTTCGAGGAAGTAGTTCGTAACCTGATCAAAAAGTGTATAACTTACTAACTTGCTTTCTTTGCAAAATTAAAATGATAAAAAATGTATAACTTACTAACTTGCTTTCACTTACCCATGCGTACAATTAATTGACGCTCATCATTCTTCTTGTACTTTCCATGATAGTTCGCAGCAATGTGTCAGAGACAATACCTATGTTGGACAAAGGGTGGTTGCCACATTGGACCCAAAAACTCTATTGCTGCTTTGATCCCAGCTCCGCGATCTGAAATGACACAGATTTTTTCCCTCGTGATAACATGTGCACGTAAATTTCGGAGGAAAAACTCCCAAGAAATCTGTATCTTCTCCTTCGTCAAGAGCAAAAGCAACTGGAAGAATGTTGCGATTGCCATCTTGGACAACTGTCAATAATAAAACTTGCTTGTATTTTCCATACAAGAAAGTCCTGTCGATCTGGAGCACAGGCTTGTAGTATTTGGCAGCATTAACGCACTGTGGGTAACTCCAAAAAACCTGGTAGAATTGGCATCGATCGCGAAGAACTCGATCATTATGGTATGCATAGTAGGTTTCGAAGTCCACAATTGTCTCAGGATTCAACGTCCGCACCAGCCTAAACCAACCTGGAAGTTCGTTGTAAGATACATCCCATTCGCCATGATGTTTGACAATGGCATTTTGTTTTGCCAACCAAGCTTTTTTATAGGAGGTGGTGTACCCATACTGCGATTGTATAGTTGAAATCAACACTGCAACAGCTATATGAGAGCTTGCTTTTACCATGGGCATGATGGCTTGGCATATCACTTCAGAGTCCAAGTTGGGATGATCTTGGTTGACCTCTCCAGCACAACATGTGTGAGGACCGTTGTATATTGTTAGTTCTCATATGTTGTTTTTCCTCTTCATTTTCGATACGCGAACAATCCAATTGCATCCGTTTTCGCGTCGGGCACAGTAGCATACATATTTTTCAGTCGTCGATCGGTTTGACTCTGGACTGAACAGAATTACGGATATTGTAATTTTTGATAGCCATCATCGCTTCTTCTTTGCTTGAAAACTCCATGCCTAAAGATAACTCACCATTATTTATTGATGAGTAATATCCATAGTCACCGAGATGAGGCATATCTGCAAATTCTGGCACGTACATTACACCATAATCAGCTTCATACATGTGTGTAGGAGGGTCAGTTTATGCCACATTTCCTGGAACTTCATCATCATCGGAGTTGAATAGCGGTGATTCTGTGTGAATGAATAGTCCAGTCTCAGCACCATCCGCACCAGGCTCACAAAGCAGTTCTTCTGGTCGAGATGATGGTTCCTCCATGCTCTCCACATTTAGGTCGAAGAACCTACTACTACTTGCACGCCTTCCGTTGAACTGGAAGGTATATCGACATTGAGATCGAAAAAGCTCGCAGTCGAATGCCTCCCCCTGGAGCTTGAAGCCATCGTGTCAAATGGAACTGCATAGATGGTTGCGTCGATGGCATCTCCATATGGTCAAAGAAATTTGCAGATGAATGCCTTCCCCTTGAACTGGACGCGGTGTTGCCATACAGATTGTTCGTGGACCCACCTCGGTACATATCGTAAGGAGTTGCGGATGAATATCTCCCCATTATGGCATTAAAATCATTACACATTACTGTAGTCGGGTTGTCAACTTGATCAACTTGTTCAGCCAGCCCATAAGTGTGAGCTTAAAGATTGACTCCGAACAGCACGCACTTGAACAAAATGTGCATACATCTCAATAGCGGCGTCTGAATAATTACTTTGAGCTTCAACCATCATTTGAACATCATCATTGTTCGAAAGTTCGAACGTTGTATAAGTTAATGGCAACAATGATGTTGGAAATCTGTACTGCAACGACGACATTCTTCTGTTACTTCCAACATGAATCTTCCTCGAAATCATCGTTATCAGCTCCTCAAGAGTTTATTTCTCTTGAATGATATTTTAACATGCTCATTTGATACGAAAACAACGTCGGTTTCATCTTCTCGAATTTCACCATCATAATAAACAATAGCTGAAAGTCGCGCCATTTTTTGAGTTTAAAAGTGCGGAAATATTATATCTGCAAAAAAAATAACTTAAACAAACCTGATTAAATAAATTATATATGAACGAAAATATAACACAAAAATTTTTTTACACATCAACGTAAATAATTAGTATAATATTTTTTCAAATAATGATAATAAACAATAAGTATAATTAAAAAATTATAACAAAATTACCTTATAACGAAAAATCGCACGAACTTCTAAATTAATTATAAGAAGATTGCCAGAATTATTACTCGTTGACGGAATTGTTGTATTAATTTATAAGAGAGGAGAGATGCGAGGAGATGTGAGGAGAGATGCGAGAACAGGAGGTATTTATAAACATATAAGGCGCGGTACCTGTACTGCGTTATATGTAATTATTATATAGTGCGGATCAGAGATCGTATTAAATATAATTTTGGTACGGCGTATAGCGCGGCTACTGATCCGCGCTATACCCTTACGTGGCGTATAGCGCGGAGCAGGGGGCGCGCTATACCCCACGTATAACCCAGTCAGCGTATAGCGCGGTACATGGGGCGTGCTATAATCCACGTGACGTCAAATCAACATATAGCGCGGTTCAGGGGCACGCTTTACTGCTACGGGTGTTATATCGAAAAATATAATCTGACCGCTGTTAGATCAGTATATATACCAATTTTTGTTTTTTGAAAATCGCCCTAAAATCCCGTCTCTGATACGAAGGTTGCATGGCACTCGATTTTCTAGACCCAGAATGATAAATAGGCCTGTAAATGAACTGAACGTTCAACGAACCGTTCATGAACCGTGCGGCAGGAAGTTCGTTTATGTGCGTTTATTTATTAAATGAACGAACATGAACAAGATTTTTTGTTCGTTTAATTAAATGAACAAACATGAACATAGGTTTCGTTCGTTCATTTAGGTTCGTGAACGTTCGGTTATGTTCGTTTGGTTATGTTCGTTTATGTTCGTTCGATTATGTTCGTTTATGTTCATTCATTTATGTTTAACCCAATCTTCTTAAATCAATTTTGGTGACCAATTTGTAAGTATCTTAAAAATATTAATCTAATATTCTGATGACCAACTCCATAATTAACCTAATTTTATTTGGAGATTAAATCCAATATGTTAACCTGTGAGGCACCTCGCTCTTATATTCATTTTCCCCTTTTTTTCCCAAATCTTATTGTTCACTGGAGAGTGGAGACGATCTCTGAAAGATTCAAAACAAGTTATATTATAGTGCAATATGAAGTTTTACATGTCTGTTTTCATCTTTCTCTGTTTTATTTGACTTAATAGTTGATATGTAAAGTTATTGTGGGTATCTTCACATCTAAAACTCAAGAAAACATAATACTTCTTTCTAGAAATAGATGGGAAGATAAAGGTAAAAATTGGAAGTATATGAGCATCAGTAAAAAGAAAAATCTATAGAATTTGCCAGAAAACATTTCATCACTGCTAATAAGCTCTTACGCTATTTATCACTGTAGATTTGGTTGATTTGTATTGTCGACTATTTTTCATGAAAGAACAATGGAAGGTAAGGTCTCCAACGTTTATGTTCGTTTATGTTCGTGTTCATTTATGTTCGTGTTCGTTTATGTTCGTGTTCGTTTATGTTCGTTTATTTATTAAATGAACGAACATGAACAAGTCATATTCCTTAATAAACGAACATGAACAAAAAAAATTTTGTTCGTTTATGTTCGTGTTCGTTTATGTTCGTTTATTTATTAAATGAACGAACATAAACATACCTTCGTTCGTGTGCGTTCGGTTCGTTTACAGGCCTAATGATAAAGGTCAAGGGAGCGGTTAATTAAGAATAGTTTTTCATTTGGGATAAACCGGGGGTAAAAAAAACCTGCAGTAACCGAAACGACAGATCAATTCTCCGAGCAATCAACGGTTGATCAATATATATAAGATATTAAGATATATAAAAATTGAAATTGAAAATGTTGAAACTCAAGCCTCATCCCAAATTAGACCAAAATCAAAACAATCTCACTTCTTCTTCTACGACCAAGCCCTAATCATCATCTCTTTTATTTCTTTTTAATTCTTTTAGAGATGATTTAGTTTGGGGTTTCTCTTCAGATCCGACCCACCCCAGGTGAGTTCCTTTTTTTCCCTTTTCTTTTTTTATTATTTTTTCATTTAATTTTTTCTGGTGTATTTGGGGAATTGATTGACGTAATTTTAGTAATCATCTTGTTTGGTGAAATGTTTTGTTTATTTTTCCCTTTTTTGGTTAAGTAATTTAGTTTTTTGTGTAATTAATGTAATTTTGTTTGGGGTATTCCCAGATAGAATGGAAAAAAGACAAAAAAATGTAAATATACCTCCGAAATTGATTTGAGATAATGAGAGAGGGGATGATTTTCCTTGTTCTCTCGGTCTAAGAGGAACTTAATTATTAGATATACTATGCTTCTGAGAATTTTTAATTATTTCATGTGTTTTTATGAAGTGTTTGAATATTGCTGATCCTTTAATGATCTGTAAAATGTTTGGGGCTGCTAATTATTTTGAAGTACAGAAACAATGTCTGGTTTTGCTATTGTGTTTATAGTATATTAGGCTTGGGCTAATGTTAATTCTAGGATGTTATTGCCATTCGGGGCATTATCTTAGATTTTGCGACAATTAAAGAACATTCTTTAATTGATCATGACTTCATGAGAGGATCAGCAACGCATGGTTTTGGAAGGAAATTAAATTTTTGTGTGTTTTTGGATTGAATGAAGCACTTGGAAGTTTATTTAAGGAAGACATCCTGGTTTAAGAGATTTTAATTGTACTTTATAGAGCACTGTTATGTTTTGCGAGTTTACTCTTAATTCTTTGATTTGTCAATATTTGTCTGTTTTTTCCCCACAAGTTGAATGGTTTAATGGATGCTTTTTATTTGAGATGCACTCTGATCGTCTTCTTATTTATATCCTGGCTCTTAGAAATTTAAACATATGGTTGATGTGATAATTCTTTAATTTTCATCTGTTTTATTGGTGTTGCAGTTTGATGAATATAGTAACTTATCATAATTTTGGAAGATTAGTTTCTTTCCCTGCCACCTATCATTATAAGTTATAACTTATTGTAATTAATTGATTTTTTTGTCCAATAACATATGTTTTAGTTTGTATTCCTGGTGATGTGTGCATTGTGCAGATTTAATGCATTTTCACGAAGTACCTCACATGGATGATGATAGTTGAGAAGGATAAAATGTCAGCTCCTTCATCCAGGGAGCGCACACAGCATCTTTATGAGAAGGTATATGTTTTATTTTTTAGAAATGTGGTTCCATTTTAGATTCTTGTCACGATGTTATTTGGTACTCTCTGCAGAATATGGAGTTGGAAAATAATCGTAGGAGATCAGCTCGGGCACGAGTGCCTTCAGATCCCAATGCCTGGCAGCAGATGCGTGAGAAATATGAGGCTATAATTCTTGAGGACCATGCTTTTTCTGAGCATCATAATATTGAATATGCTTTGTGGCAGTTACATTACAAGCGGATTGAGGAACTACGGGCACATTATAGTGCTGCACTAGCTTCTGGAGGATCAGACGCATCTCAGGGTGTGAAAGTTCCTCCAGGACCTGACCAACTTACAAAAATAAGAGTACGGTTTAAGACTTTCCTTTCAGAGGCAACAGGATTTTATCATGATCTAATTTTGAAAATCAGGGCAAAATATGGACTTCCATTTGGCTACTTTTCTGATGGTTCAGAAAGCCGAATTGTTATGGACAAAGATGGAAAGAAATCCACTGACATAAAAAATGGTTTGGTATCTTGTCACCGTTGTTTGATATACTTGGGAGACCTAGCTTGGTATAAAGGATTGTATGGAGATGGAGACTCTAAATCACGCGAGCATGCGGCGGCTTCGAGTTACTACTTGCAAGCTGCATCAATTTGGCCGTCAAGTGGTAATCCACATCATCAGGTTTTTCTTTATTTTCCTTCGCTGTTAATAGGTTATCCTTGACTTTTATGCTCCAGTAATCTTTTTGCAAATGCCTTATTTTTTTTTTTCAGTTAAACTATATTCTGATTTCTAATATGGACTATGATCTCTTTATTCAGCTAGCTATATTGGCTTCATATTCTGGAGACGAGCTGGTGGCTGTTTATCGATACATCCGGAGTTTGGCACTGGATAATCCATTTACTACTGCAAGGGATAACTTGATCGTGGCCTTTGAGAAGGTATGGGTGCAGATTTTAGTTTATATTTTGGAATGTGTATTTACTTATTTGCGTATTTAAGGTAGCAATTGTACTTTCTATGGTCATGTGGATCTGTATTGTGGATGATTGGTTATTGTATGTTTTTGCATCTTACTATGACATTAAGTCGCTGGATTAGTTGAACGCTTAGATGTTTGTAATTTTGTATTACCTTCTTAAGCATTATTTTATAGTTCTCAGATGATTTAATGCAAAGGTGCTCATTCATGCTATGTATTGATTAGCTAAAGCTACAATGTGAAATAATGTCAAACAGTTACCTTGCAAGATTTATTGAGCATATCCCATTTCTGACACGGTAAAACAACTTTGAAATTTACTACTCTTAATCTCATTAGATTTCTGCAGTTTTTGTCAAGAGTGATTAGTTATTGTATATTTGAATGTTAACTTCTTGAAAACAGAATTGTTAGTGGATTTATAATTTATATGCTAGTGTTAAATATGTACATTTTTCTTTGCAGAACCGTCATAATTACTCACAACTTGCTGGGGATGTTAAAGCTCCCTTGGTCAAGTTATCAGGAAAAGGTAGAGGGAAAGTGGAAACAAAACTTTCACCCCAAGATACCAACATGGAAATGAACACTGCTACGGAGAAAGTGTCTGGTGTCCAGGATACTTTCAAGTCTTTTTGCACTCGATTTGTCCGTCTAAATGGCATTCTTTTTACACGCACAAGGTATACTTTCTCAGCAGTTTATTCTCTTTTGTTGATGATCAAGTTTTCTTGGATTATGTTTTTATTGAAGCTTACTTTGTGCAGCCTGGAGACTTTTGCTCATGTTCTCTCTCTGGTTAGTTGTGATTTAAGTGAACTTCTCTCCTCTGGGCCAGAAGAGGAACTTAAGTTTGGCGCAGGTGCTGCTCAAAATGCACTTTTCCTTGTGAGGCTTGTTTCCATTCTCATATTTACAGTTCACAATCTGAAAAGGGAGAGTGATGGTCAAACATATGCTGAAATTGTGCAACGTGCTGTCCTACTTCAAAATGCATTCACTGCCATTTTTGAGTTGATGCAACATGTAGTAGAGAGATGTTCACAGCTCCAGGATGTTTCCTCAAGCTACACCTTACCTGCTATTCTTGTTTTTGTAGAATGGCTTGCATGTTGCCCAGATGTTGCAGTAGCTGGCAGTGATGTGGATGAGAAACAGTCGATTACTAGATCAATTTTCTGGGAGCAATGCATATCATTTCTGAATAAGATATTGTCAATTACGCCAATGTGCATTGATGATGGTGAAGATGATACCTGCTTTTCAAATATGAGCAGATATGAAGAAGGCGAAACTGAAAACTGTCTTGCATTGTGGGAGGACTTTGAGTTGCGAGGGTTCTTGCCACTTGTTCCAGCACACTCTATTTTGGACTTCTCAAGAAAACGTTCCTTTTTAAGTGATGGCGACAAGGAAAAGAAAGCCCGTGTTAAGAGAGTATTAGCAGCTGGGAAGGCTCTAGCTAATGTCATTAGAGTTGATCAGGAAAATGTTTCTTTTGATTCAAAAGCCAAGAAATTTCTTATTGGTGCCGAGGCTTCCAAAAATGTCACAGTTAGCTCTTCTATTTCTCTAGCAACAAATGTTGAGGGGCATGAAACCCCTTCTGAAAAGACGATTAATGTTGGAAATATGCAGCCAATCCCACAACCTAGAATGATTGAAGAGGATGATGATGATGATGAAGTGATTGTTTTCCAGCCAGTTATGAGCGCAAAGAGAAATGAAGTGATTGGGCCAAACCAGCCACTCTCTGACACTTTGAAGCTTGTTCAGTGTGGCTCTGCTGATGATGTCAAATTTTATGGCAGTGCCATGTCTGCTCCTCTTGCTAGTCCTCATCAGCATAATACATTTGAGGCTAGTTCTCTGCTGTCTGTATCTGTTGGTAGTATTGCCCCGCAGCTTCCCCAGGCTGTTCAGATGCAACCATCTAGGTTGTCAGTGAGAGAAGCTACTTCTATGTTTAATAGCTTCAAAGGTTTGACAATGTCGGAGAATGGCCATTTAACAGAACATGGCATGCAAGATAATGCAGTCCTTTCACATCCTGCTGCATATTCAGTCGGTATCAAAAAACTACCCATCAGTGCCTGTGCTAGCAGTATGTACTACAGTCAAACGAAAGTGCCAGATACTGTGCTGCCATCCAGAATTGATGCTGTTGTGTCATCTGGAATTACTGCTCATGCTTTAGCTGCTAAAACTTCCTTTGCTTTGCAAGTTGGAGCACGGAAGAATCCGGTTAGCCGCCCAGTTAGGCATCTTGGACCTCCACCTGGTTTTGGCCATGTTCCTTCAAAGCCATTGAGTGAATCTGTTTCTACATCACAATTGGAGAACCCCTTGATGGATGATTATAGTTGGTTGGATGGGTATCAGTTAACATCATCATTGAAAAACTCTGGGCTTGATAATTCCCTCAATCATGCTGCTCATGCAGATCCCCAGTATGTCAACCACAGCAGCAATGGCTAGAATGGAACTGTAAGTTTTCCTTTCCTTGGGAAACAGGGTCCAGTAGTGCAGTTTCAAATGGAAATGCAGAAAGGCTGGCAGGATTACCATATGCTTGAGCATCTGAAAATTCAACATGAACCAAAGTTGCAGCCACATCATCTCATGAATGGAAACCAGTAGTTTACTGTACAGCCCAAACAGTATCAAGGACAATCGGTCTGGACCGGTCATTATTTTGTGTGAGATCAATAAGGTAACTTCAGTTTTTTACACATTTTCTGCCTCCTGATTTTATAATCTTTTTTTTTTTTTTGCTAAACATCTCATATATCTTTTTCCATCTAAACTTATTTTTGTTTTTGAGGTTCTTTAGTTGAGAATGATTCCCGTTGTACTGCATCTGTTTGCTGCCAAATTATACTCCCACTTTGAAGCATTGTCGGTATTGAGTTTTTGTTGGAGCATGGCTGGCCTTGGCTTCTAGTGGGAACTTGCTGCTAAACAAGTGAGTACGCACTCTGTTACTTTCTTTGATCTTTTACTAATTATTCTCCTATTCGTTTTCTGTTCATATGTAGTCGGGTATTTTTTGTAGATGGTATCTCTCTCTCGATCTCTTGTTTGTGTATACATTGAGCACTTAGTGACAATATTGATCGTAAGACGTTCCTAACAGTAATGCACGGTGAAATATATCTGTCTATATCCACTTGGTTACAATCCATTCCATATAGAATTTCCTTCTTGACTGAATTTGGTGCACACATGCATACCATGGAAAGAAATAGGGTGCTGTAGAGATGCATACATGTTTTTCTGTTTATCTCAATAGAAGTGGTTCTTAAAGTTGATTGTTTTGCAGATTTCAAGGAAGATTAAGGAAACCATGTCTTTAATGCAGAACTTGTAAGGAGTAAATGCCTTAAATGGTTACGTGGGACGGAGATAAATCGTATTAATAAGATCATCTATCAGTTTTGGGGCTATATCTTGCGTTGGTTGGAGAAAATAAAACTTGGTTTACTATCCTATTAACTATCCAATGCTCTCTGCCTATACCGCTGTTAAAAGTCAGCAACCAGAAGTTGAGACCAAGTATGTGATGTCTGCACGACCTGGCTACTTTGAAGATGAACTTCAGAAGTGTCGTCGAGTGGTGTCTAACGTATGTTGTGCATACAGTCGTTGGACATTCGGATTGGGGCCTGGGATTTTTGGTGGAGCTTTTGAGTGGCAGAATGTGTGATAAATACATACATACATACATACATATATATTATATGTGTTTATGGATGGGAGACTTGTTTAGGTTCATCGTATTCATAGTGATGTTATTAAGAAATTGTTATTAGCTTGGTATGAATGATGGTGGAACACACAAACTATTTTCTTCCCCCTTAGGGTTACACACACTACTTTCAATGTAATGAATAAATCTACGGAGAATTTGTTACTTAATAATGATTGGATTTTTTTTATTGTCTCAATCTTGATTTAAAAATATGATTTATTAACAATTAAAATATCGATATTAATTCATACAAACATTCACTAATCATTGAATTTTTATGGAAGGCAATATAATATCTACTAAATAATCCAACATGGTAACGGATGGGATAGGTTGGAATTTTTATTATTTTAGTGGTTGTAGTATAAGTGATTGAGCGTGTATTGTCAAATGATTGAAATTATTTGGAACAAATACTACTTTATAATTATTTGGATTAATAAAAAAATATAAAATGCATACAAATATTCACTTTAACAGTGAATTTTTATGGAATATAATAGTAAAATATCCACTTAATAATCCGAACAGACGGGTAGGTTGGATTTTTTGTCGTCTCAATCATGATTTAAAAATATGATTTATTGACAAATAAAAGGTAACCTCATTTAAGATCACACTTGTCAAAAACAAAAAAAACAGCATGGAATATAAATGTTTTTAAATAAAGGAGAGGAGGACCATATCAAAAATTTCAAATAAGGAAATATTGGACAACCAAATATTTATTTATAAATATTATACCAATTATAGAGAATATGTTAAAATCAAAGAAAAAAATCGACCGGATCGAGTCGTTAAATCGGCTTAGTGTAGAAACAAAGGTTTAATCGGTTTAGTACGAGTCGAAAAATTAATGGGTTATTAGAAAAACTATTTCATATTAAATTTATAAAATAAGATTAAGCCTGTAAAGGTGCTTTTTAAGGTTTGAGGTTTAAGATTTAAATATAAAATTTAAAGTTTATGATTTAAGATTTAGTGTTTAAGACTAGAATGGAGTGATTGTACAAAATAAATCTTACACTACATACATATCAAATAATAAGCCTTAAAATGTTAACCTCCTTAGACTATATTTTATTTCTTGGGAATAATCAGCAGTATACTAATGAAAACAAAATCATAGTTTCATCAAATAACTATTATATTTAATGATTAATATCAAAATCACACGGTTAACATATCATTTCTATTTTAACTAAACAACCCGAATCAATCAATTCGACCCAAGGTTGAGCCGAGATAAACCGATTCAATGCCTGGTTCGGTTTCTTAAATCATTAATTAAAACAGAATTTTCAAGCATTCTGTGGACCCACAAAATCAAAAACAGGGTCCCACACACATGTGGACCCACCAAAACTATGGTGTCGGCCCATATTGAGATAGGTCCCGCTGTTACTATACCTTCATTGTCTATATATATGAAACCTTTAGGAAGGTGTTACCCAATTCAAATGGCGGATAACAGTGGTGTTGTCTCTCTTTCTCAAGCTCCAACAGCCGAAAATGACTCATTGGAGCACACCCTTCTGAGTATCCCAACACTCTCCGCCTCCGAAGGTGGAGGTGGCGGTGTCTCTTCCAAGTCTAATACTCTCATATATCATCAATATTGTCAACAACACCTAATACCTCCTCCGTCTTGGGGAACCCCCGCTAGGAAGCTTAGAGGCAGACCTCCGGGATCGAAGAACAAGCCTAGGCCACCGCTCGTGATAACCAGAGAGAGTGACTCGGTTATGAAGACGGTGATTCTAGAGATATCCGCTGGTTGTGACATTATCGATACCGTTACCAACTTTGCTCAAAGAAACCATGTTGGTGTTACGATAATCAGTGCCACCGGCTCAGTATCAAACGTTACACTCCGGAATCCTGTTCCTCACGCGCCGTCTCTCTTTCTCTTTGGATCTTATGGGCTACTCTCTTTGTCCGGTTCGTTCGATGCCTCTATCCCTACTCTCTCTTCTAGCATAACACCCCAACCATCTTTGTCTTGTTCTTTTGGGGTAACGCTTGCTGGGGCGCAAGGGCAAGTGTTTGGAGGGATGGTAGGAGGGAAAATAATGGTGGCGACGGAGGCGACTCTGGTGGCGGCTACTTTTGTAAACCCTTCTTTTCACCGTCTGCCATGTGAAGTTGCTGATGACCAAGTTCATCGTCAAGAAACCAGGCCTCGTGGTGTTCATGCTAACGATGGCGGTGGCAATAGCGGAGGTGAAGGTGGCGGTTTTGTAGGTGGTGGAACCGAGTCTTGCTCTTTTACCGGCGTGTCCATGCCTGCTTATGGTGTCGCAGTACCCGCACCGCTTAATTATCAAACATCTCCCGATGTTATGACTCGGGGTCCTCCTCCCCCTTGTCCTTATTGAGTATGTGAAAAACATGCATGTTGAAATTTCCAGTACACCTAACCTATAAGTTATCCTCATTCAACTTGCTTGTCTTTGAGCCTAGTTTTCATATGTAGTTTATCTTATAATAAAAGTTAATGTTTCATCAATGAATGACTTGTGCTTTTTCTTTTCTTTTCTTTTAGTTCCTTTGTAACTTTATTTTTTGTTTTAATTTAACTCGAGAAGTTTTGGTATAATTCATTTAAAATTACAGTATAACTCGTTTAACAAAAAAAAAAATTGACAAATTTGATGAGATAATAATTTTAAAAAAATTAGAATGGAGTACTACATAAATTATTTTTTTAAAGTAGAAGAGAATAAATGGTCAAATCACTTGATGTTCCGGGCAGACACGTCACCTTCCTCATATTGAATGTAATCTGAGCACCAACTTTTATAGAATACCAATTCGCGTCATGTCTTTCAAACTCTTCTTAAAGACGTCAGGTAATCGGAAAGTTTTTCTTCATAGAATGTTCATTCCACCCTAGTTGACATAATAATTTCCCCTATACCCCATATAAGTCATCTTTTCTCACCATATCATCTAAGGAATTTTGGTGAAGAAAAAGTACAATCTAACTTTAGAAGAAAAAAATAGTGAGTACTTCAGATCATTACAAATCATGTAGTGAATTTCATGTCTCGATTCTCATTTTAAGTTGATGCCACTGAAATGCTCACATACTTCAAAATCAACAGAACCGAAATAAAAGTAATTTATTTTATATATGTACATAAACTTCATGGCTGAAACGCTATACAAAACTTAGAATGTAATTTGTCAGTCAATGTAAATAAGTTAATCAAATTTACAAACAAATCCTCCCCTAGAAGTCACCAAGGATACAAGACCACATGATCATAAACAAGGGAAGAAATTGCAATGCCCAGAATGAATCTCTGATTTACCTTTACCCAATGCCACCTCTCAGAGATGACTATATAAATCGACAGATTCGACCCGACAATATCATTATTTTGTTGCAGAGAAAGAAAAGAGATATTGTACAATAAGACACCCATATACAGGGCTTCTGGTTTATCATGTACCTTATTTTTTGGTGTTAAGGCTTTATTAAAACACTTTTATGTCAGAAGAAAGTCACTTGGGCGTCCTACTCATCAAATGCTCTTGATGGTTTTCTGCAGCAGCCTTATTGGCGGCCTCACGCTTGAGTGTCCTCTTTGCCCGTCTCCCCATTGTGCTTTTCACGGCTTCTTTCTTTTTAGGCTCACGTGAGGACCCGGCACCTGTGTCCTGGAAGTTGGATCGTTGAACAGGCCTGGCTTCTTGGCGCCCTGACCTTACATATCCACTATCACCCCATCTCCTATTGCCAATGCGGAGACTTGGAGAATTGGTGTAATAAACTTCATCTTCTTCGTCATCCTCATCTTCGTATGGATAATAATCATAATAAACTTCAAGATTATCATACACCTCTTCCCGATCCTCCATGCGATCCTCCACGATCAACGGTTTAAACCATGTGGCTCTAAGAAGCAGGCAGAAACTTTCCTCAAACATGTAGTCGTGGATCCTGATAGAGTGAAAGATGAGAAGTCAACTATTGGTATATGGGATATGGCAACCATAAATGAACCGGGCTTCCTTTCTACTACCTCCAAGCAGAATGCATATCCCTTGTGAAAAAGAGGGTAAGAAGGAGGATTTGAAATTACCTGCCATCCTGCGAACGATGAACATTGAGGAACTCAAATGGATGTTTACACTGAGGGCATGTAGGCATCTGATTGTATGCTGCCCATTGTAGGATGCACATCAAGCTGCAAGAACACATGCAAACACAAATAAGAACTAAAATCCCATCCAGACCCACTGTAATAATAGAATATGTTAAGCATGCCGAATGTGAAGCACACTGCAGCACATAAACACAGGAAAAGAAATAAATTGCCAACTTGATCCTGCACTATATTGGTTAATCTACAAAACCATAATAACCCGAAATTTCAAACATCAGTACTCTTGAGAAATTGTGAACAGAGCTCCGCAAATGAAAAGAAAAATTATGATAGCAAGTTTGCAATCAGAGAAAGAAAACCCAGCTCTCATCCACATTGGATAAGTAGAATGATTACCAAGGATCGGTTTTGATAAGTAAATAATGACAACAAAGGCGATTGCTCGAATTTTCTAACCAAATAATGAAGGCTCAAAAGTATAAAAGAATCGTGGAAACAGAACAAAATCAAGGGGTGAAAAAAAAAACAAAAAAGCGTTAATTATGAATATTGGGAAGAGATAGAATGGACAAACCAGTAAGCATGCTCGCAACCTTTAACGAGTGCAGTTTCCTGAAGCACAATCTTATCTAAACAAATCGCGCATATTCCACTGTGATTTTCGCAGCTCTCCTCGGCAGCAACTCCTTTGTTCTTCATATCAATCTAAAAAAGTAATGATAATTAAAGCAATATATCCAATAAAAAATCGAGGTCTCACAAGAAAACTTCTATTAAATTACCAAAAATATCATGGTAAAATTACATATATATTTTTTTAAAAAAGTTACATAAGCAATCAAATGGAACAATAACAAAAGCATCAAATTACTACACAGCTACATAACCATCGTAAAACATAAAATTACCTATCGTAAAAAGTTACATAAGCAATCAAACGAAAACTTCTATTTTCTCAGTTTTCTCAGCAGCGAAACAACAAAAATTAGGTTGGGGAAGAATCTTAACCTATCGTAAAACATAAAATCCAAAATAGATCTGATTCCAAAACCTATAAAAAAGGATGAGGAAGAAGAAAAAGTACCTGATCTTGAATCGATGGATTGGGAAGAGCGTGAACAAGGTGCTCACCGTCGATCTTGACGATTGAAGTCATGATTTTGATTTTGAATTTTGTTTTTCTATTTTGCTTCTGAACTAATCTATGATTTTGCTACAAATTTACAGTAAGCTAAGTTAACAAACGAATTTTTAGTTTTATATGAAAACAAATAGTAAGAAAAAATAAAAAAAAAAGTTTTGAGATGCCGAAGAATTATTCTTCTGATTCCAGAGAGAGAGAGAGAGAGAGAGAGAGAGAGAGAGGACTGTATTTGGAGGAAAATACCCAAACAAAGAGGGGTCGAATTGTGGATGCCAAAAATGTGCTGTTTTTTATTTATTATGATAAGTAAAATATATGATAAACTACAGGCTTACTACCTAAATTATTACTTTTGTTCTGTTTTGATTATCTAATTATTTTTATTTCAAAATTATATCTGATATTACTTTTTAGTTTTCTTTTGGTCATTCGCCGTAAAAAATTAATATAATTGTTGATGTGCTTTTTAGGATAACGTATTTAGTGCCTAAACTATCAGTTTTGATCTGTTTTAGTACATAAACTTTTAATTTTTTTAATATTATACCTAATGTTTAGTTTTCATTTCATTATTACCTCACCGTTAAAAACTTAACGCGTTTAGTACCTAAACTATCAGTTTTGGTTCGTTTTAGTACTTAAACTTTTAATTTTTTTTTCAAAACTTAATGTTAAGATTTGAACGATGTACTAAAATGAAACAAAAACTAAAATTATTAATGACGGGTACTAAAATGAAACAAAAACTAAACTTTAAGTATAATTTTGAAAAAATTAAAAGTTTAAGTATTAAAATAAACCAAAACTGATAATTTAGGTACTAAACATATTAGTTACTCTTTTTAAGATATTTTCAATGATAACAGAATATTATATTACGGTGACAAAATCAAAATTATCTTTAATTTTTTTAAGAATAAGTAAGCAAAATAGAAGCAGAAGGCTTGACGTAGAGCGGTATAATATCATTGCGGGTAAATCTTTTGGATCCTCCTTTATTTGGGATCTTTTAGATGAACTGCAATATGACCAATTCCAACCATAGCTTTTGGCATTGCTGCTTGAAATGGCTCACTCTTATGCTTTTTAATAGCATTAAGTGTCCTTTGTTCACGGTCAAGGATGCATGGAAGTAAAACAAATATGTCCAATTAGAAGCTTTATCAATATTATTTATGAGAAACTCATATTTAACCAGCTCCATATCATCTTCTTTGCAAGAATAAGTTGTTTAATTATGTCATTTTCTTTTGACTTAATATAATTTTAGGTGCCTAAATTATACCTCAATGCTCAAAGTTTGATGTTGAAAGAACAAGATCAGATTTTTTTTCCCTAACCATCGCGCCCCCTATGCCTATGGTGTGAGAATTTATGATGACGATGATAATCATACCTGTAAGGTCCTAAGGAATGAAAACATATCTACAACTTCAATACGTGTGAGTCCCTGTGTACTGAGAGAGGGTCAACTACAAGGATGGCAAAGGTGTCATATTCTGGTTTATATCTGCTTACTGTAACTTTACACGATAAGTAAATATATAATGACAAAAACACCAACGAGGTTGATTTAAGTGGTAAGCAGCTTGATATCGCTTAAGCAAGGTCTCAAGTTCGAATTCTCGCATATGCAAAAAATTGTTGTTCCCAGTTAATATATATGTGAAAAATTGAAGGATGAAATGTTATATAAATGACTAAAATCCTAAACCTTGAGACATCAACACAACTTTTAGTATTTGCTCATTCAAATTATTGGCGGGTTGTTTATGCATAATATATCAATTGTTGTGTTTACTTTATGCATGTAAGGTTAAAACGTCGAAGCCATGCAGATAGAGATAAAAGAACAGGGTATCCCAGTACTTCCTTCTCTTTTTATCACTAAAATGACATTCACCAGCAAGTAACATATCAGCATCACAAGAAACAAACACAATCCACAGGCACGTATACTTCGTTCTTTCTTTTATTTTTATATCATAAAATCGTTTTGCCCCACAACCCTAGAGTGATGGAGGAGAAACAAATTGTCTGGGTAAGCTAAATAGATTTTTCCCTTCAAATGGGGAAGTCAACTAATGTGAACCTGCAGCTGAAATTTCGGCCATAGTCACTATGCTTACTGTTAATCCCGCAATGGGTACACCCTTCCCATTTAGTGTCAATCTCATTGCTGGTTTAGCACTTAGTCCATTTGTATTAGGATAATACATGTGAATGCTCTTCATCAGAGATGTTGATGGTCCCAACCAGATTTCCCCAGGCCTTAGAGAAGAAGACAACCCCCGCTCCAAGCTCCAATCAATATTGGTATAGTCCAACTGGGCAATTGAGCTACCACTGCTCCGGTCAACTGGGGACGCAGCTCCTGATGAAGTGGTGGAACCCAAACCGGTGAAGAGCCCAAGCGAAGATGCAGCTGCAAGCATTGGTGATGCACCAGTTCTGCTCCATAAACCATTTCCTCGGCTTGTTCTCGGGGAATCTCCTGGACCACTGCTCGATCTGAAGTGCAGTTGGTTTGATGATAAAGCTGGTGATGCATCTGCCTTGAACTCAAATTGTTGTAAATAAGGCTTTTAGAATTTGGAATCTGGGGCATGAATCCATTAGACTACGTAATTTCAACGCAAGCAGAGGTTCCCAGAGGAGATGTGCCTATACTTGTAGCCAGAACCTGTTTTGTATTTAGCATTGTGATTGTTGCATCATTATAACTGATTCCCTAATTGATGGAAGAATGTTCCTAAAATCACTTCCAACAGCCCAATGATGGCTTTCTGTGTTTGTTGGTGGAAGTGAGGCCCGAAAAGGTGATGCCAAGGAATAAGAAACAGTAACCCTCTAAATGAACCGTTCGTGAATCATTTGGTGGGAAGTTCGTTTATGTTCGTTTATTTATTAAACGAACGAACATAAACAAGATTTTGTGTTCGTTTAATTAAATGAACGAACATAAACAAAGGGCTAATTCAATCATTTACGTTCGTGAACTTTCGGTAATATGTTTGTTCATGTTCGTTCGTTTATGTTTGTTTATGTCCGTTCGTTTATGTGTGTTTATTTATTTATAGCCTAATCTCTCTAGACTCATTTAAAATATTAAAGACCAATAAATTTTAATCTGATACCCATAAATATTTTAAAATTCAATTAATTTTAAATGCAAATTAAAAAAAAACTCAAAATAATTAAATAAAATATAATCCTAATATTGTTAGGAAAGAAAAAATATATATTTTCATTTAGTTCGTTCATATTCATTTATTGTGTTCACTTACGTTTGTTCGTTTGTGTTCGTTTACATTCATTTATTGTGCTCGTTTATTTTTATTTACATCCGTTCATTTATATTCGTTTACGTTCGTTTATGTTCGTTCATTTGTGTTCGTTTATCATTTAAATGAACGAACATGAACGAACACAAACAAATTACATTCCTTAACGAATGAACACAAACAAGAAATTTTTTTTCCGTTTATGTTCGTGTTCGTTAATTTGTTCTGTTAAAGTTAAACGAACGAACATGAACATACTCTCGTTCGTGTTTGTTCGGTTCGTTTACAAGCCTAAGAAACAAAAGGATTTGATCCGGTACTTGGCCACATTTTCTCAGCTGGTACCTCACTTTGTTGGGGTTTTGCCCATTTCAACTTTGGTTGTAAAGGCTGGAAATTTTTAGTCACAAATTCCTAAGAACTTCCCATTGTAACCGTTGATTTTGAATGGTTTAAATCATTCTCATCTCTTCTTTGCTGTATTGCAATAAACAGATTTTGTTTAAGTTGTGGCCTTGCAAATAAGTTTTGGCTACCTGTCACCTCCACCTTAGTGAAACTAGAAGTCGAAGGATCACGTTTTTTAGGATTTTGATGGAGAACATGGTTCCTGCGTTAAAGTCTTAAGGATTCAACTGCATTCTCAAGATCACCATTTGCAGTAACAACTGCTCTTTCAACCTCTTGCCGTGTATACTTGTACCTGATTTTCATATCCACAATTTGTGCAAGCTCTTCTGATATGTCAATTTTCAGAATCCCACCAGTTGATTCCTTATGCTTAACCCCTTCTTCACCTCCTTCAAAAAGCCATACCACATATTCCTCAACTTTGCCATCATTCAATATAAGGGCCATTGGTGCTCCATCATGAGAAAATCCCATTGCTACAATCTTCTGAGAAAGAGCTTCAAGCTTTCTTGACATGAGATAGCCATTGCATCGCTCATGCAACTCCAGAGCTCGCGCCTCTTTTTGTCACTAATGTTTCCTCTCATTCTTTTGACAAATTTTTTTTGCTTATCGTTGTCAGCTCCATGTATTATTTCCTTCCGTAATGGAGGATTAGATGTTTTCTCTTTGTGATCTTCAGACTCACCAGATCAGCTTTCATTATTAGAAGTAGAATCATATTCAATACCACCACCGGGTGATCCCCCCAAGTGTTCATCTGTCTCATCTATGTTTTGGTAACGACCATTGTATTGAAGAGCTGAGGCCGACGATGACGGTGTTGTTTCAACATCATGGACTGCTCCCAAAAGTGGATTATTTGCTCTAGCTGCAAAACTACTACCAGCATTAGCAGAACCTGAATGTTTTGAAGCCTTCTCAGTTTCCTTGCTAGTTTTCTTTTCTTATTCTTAGACGTAGACTTGGATGCAGGAGACATCAATGAGGCCAAATATAGTCCTGAAGTGTTAGAACAATAATTTAATAAATCAATGAAATATAACAAAGAATAGTTTACAAAATCAATGACACGTACAACAGACTCAAGCAAGAAAAAACTGGCTACAAGTGAAGGTAAAAAAGGGGGGGGGGAGACTTCTCAAATATGCTTATCAAATGCACAAACCTAAAAGGTTTTTACAAAAATAAAAGGTATTGGAATATAAAAATCTCCAAAAAGTTCCATAAGAACCTAGCTCACCAAAATTCATGTATGACATTCCTGGGTTTGCAATAGAACGAAAACCTACAAGGTGTTGCTCATTTTGCGTTGAGACTGCATTCAGAAGCAGTTGAGGGAAGCGATATCATTTGTC